GCAAGCTTATTTTCTTCTTTCTTTCTTACCGAAATAAGATGTCTAAAACATCTGAAAACGAACACTGATCATCTTAATCCAGCTATTAATAATTTCGAGCTTTAGAATCGCCATCGAAAATAATGTACCCTTCCCATCTTACGAGCTGTACGTGTTTCCATCCCCGCAAACATGCTCCTTCTGCTTTATCTTTCTAGTACCTGGTTGTTTTCCTTTGCCTCCACTATTTATCTTTCTTCTTGTTCCGTCCCCTGTTTTCTTTCCTCGCTAGCAGCTCGTTTCCAGCACTTTTTCTCACCCTCCGCTCCACTCGTTCTCTCATCAGTCTCGACCCTGCACCTCCTTCGTTATCTTTCTCAATTTTTTCTTCACCATTCTTATTCCACCCTTGCTGCCAACCTCGCAGCTCTTACGCTTAATGTCCACAGTTTGCTTGGTTCTTCCAGCACCTTGCTTCATCCTTTTTCCACCTCTTTGCCTCTTGTTTATCGTCCTCGTCGTTCAACCTGGCCGAGGAACGGGGAAAGACGTCGTCCATTCGTCTACGTCTTCACGCTTTGCGAATCTACGTGTTTTGCATCCGGCACTTTTCTCCCGTGATGCACCTAATGCATCGACTTCCGCGAACGTTGCTTGCACGGATGTTTTGCTATTTCTTTTTTTCAGTCACGCCTATGTCACCTCGGTGGTGGCACCGATCGCGATCGTTCTTCTCGGTTTGTCCTGTTTCTTTGGCTTATCACAGGCTATGGCTGCCGCCAGAAACCATCGCGAACGCGAGGCGTGATGCTATCGCGATAAAAACAATCTCCGCGCAGCACCAGTTTAGGGGCCATAGTGCCTTTTTTAGTAGCTATAACTTATAAAAATCCGCGAGTAATTGCACTCGATTGTCCGGGAAGAATCACGGGACAGGCCCGCAGTCGATTCTCGGGACATAATGCCGAGCCAGTGGAACAGGAACAGGGGTGAATACATCAGAAACGAAGTATTTTAAAATTACAGTCTATTCACGGTCTCTACGCGCATAATTAGTAGCGAGGGGCATGAAAAAGAGGCGATAAAACGCGGCAATTGCCAAGTCGGTCGAACAATGCCATTGTAATTATTTTTCAGCATTGAAAACCTCGTTACCAGCATTTCGGACTTTGCAAGTTCGTGCATTAATTAGTACGTAGGCAACGTACCGCGGAGGAAACAAAGAAGGAAAAAGTACCATCAAACGGATGAAAAAAAGAAAGAAAAAAATAAAAAGGAGGAGCGAGGGAAGCGAACCGATATCGATGTTCATCCACGAAATTTCGAAAGAACGATCTACTAACTCTGGAATCAAACGTTTCCTCTCGTACAATATAACAAGATTAATTGTTTTTGGTTCGCGGAGAGTTTCCCATTCGTGTTTCGCCGAGGCTTCCTAGCCGATAGCAGCCTCCTCGATTTCAGTTTGATTAATTAGTCCCGTTTTCCGGGATACTACGAGCACGGCGGTGAATGCGCTAGTGTTCGCTAGGGTGACGCCATCGCCATCATCGTCATCTACGACGACGTTCGGACGATAGGGTCGACCAACATTGAAAATTAAACCTCATCATCAGTGTGTATTTGCACCTTGTCAACAATAACGCCGAGCATATCCGGAAACCAGGGGGGATCCAGAGACTTGGAACATACCTGGAAACTAATTCTCTTCTCTCTTACTTTCTCTAACTTTGCGAGCTCTCTCTCTCTTATGACCGTCCGTGATCAGTAAGTTTCTTCGAGCGCGAAGAATCGTACATGTACGAGATTGTAGTTTCCAACACGACCCGCCGTCATCTAGAAAAGTGCTCGTTCTCGCTGTACTCCTGGAAAATGGCCTTGTATTCACAGCCAGTATTGTGTTGGTTTTATCGGTCGGTATATATACTCAATCTTTTGACTAGTTCCTTTCTCTTTTGTTCCTCGTGTTACTTTCTTTGGTCTTAAGTGGTTGAACAGATTTTTTTTAGACACGTAATGGCATTTAGATTGTTGAAATTTTTTGTTCTTACTGTTTGACTATATTTTTTATCGTTACATTTTTATACTTCTTTGTCAATTTCTTTTGTTATGTTCTTTGTCCTTTGATATTTCCGTCGGTTTTTGAATCGTTAAAATTTGTTGATATTATATAGTTAATAGTTTTTATTATTACATTCTTTATGCTCCTTTGTTCTATACTACTTTCTGTTCTGTAATGCATCTCTATATATAATAGATTATTCTAATAATTTTTCTTACCTTCATAAAACAATAACTTACTTAGTTTGCATCTTGCAGTAATGTTAAGTTTCTACAACTTTTACGAATCGTTTCACTGTTTCACCCTTAATATGTTAATATACATAGATTATAAGTGGACAAATATCCATGGCCCCTAATTTTATTAACTTCCATTAACTTCCCATTAATTTCCTGCATTCTCTCGTAATTCCATATCCCGAAGTTCGTCCACGAAATCTGACAAAATGATCGTGGGTAAGTAACAATATCTAGCTTCGTGTTTCGCTGCTAGCTTCGACCCGCAGGGTCGATTTTGTGCGTGGGACCGCCCGAAACCCCCGAAGGAACGTCGAACTTCATGGTTGCATAAATTATGACCGTCTCGATTTCGAATGCGCCGGATTTCCTGTACTCATTATCGTTGGCTCACCGTTTAATCACCCAACGCATGCCTGGTATAGAGGATCCAAGTTGCTCGGTTCGTTGGAACAAACGATCGGCATTGGTTGGATTAACGTGGAGTTGCAGGTTCGTGCGCGGGGACGAGACGCGTGTAACGGCACGTTTCGCGTTTAATTACGGCTTTAGTGTATCATTAATAAACATCGATACGTCCGTACCGCATAACCTGTCGCGTAACGTGCCTCGTGCCTCGTTATTAATTAGCGACGTTACACGTAAGAGGATTGAGAACGAACGCGTTCAGCTTCTATTTTATTTCGAGAATCATCCATTACAGGCTTCTGTCGGACACAGGGGGAAAAATGATGTAGGTTACCTCGGAGAAAAATGATGGCTTTCGCCGTGGATAATTAAGAGGTCAGGAAGAAGTGGTTGCTTCTAAATCGAAGTTTTTCTTATTTATCAGTCGTGATGATATCGGAGTCGAGGGTGTTAAACTTTCTGAAAGTTTAACAGTTTACGGTACCCATTGAAAGGAGCAAAATATGTTTGACCAACATAGTTTACAAAAACGATCTTTCGATATTATATCAAATTTTGTATCAAAATTGTGTGATATTTAAATCAGATATACTGTACCCACCATCCAACATGAAATTGTTACTTCGTGAATGAGATACGTGAGACGTGCGAGCGTACGAGAGAAACGGAAATAGAAAATCATCGAAAAATTCGATTCTCTTCATACGACGATATTTCAACAACGCAAAGTCGCACCGGAGTGAAACGAAAAGCATTTTACAGCGGAAGCTTCGCTCTTTCTGATATCTCAAACAGGATTAAAATATCTTTGCTAGTTTTGCAACAACAATTGTTTAAACTCTTAGTAGTTTTAATAAGTATTACTCGCGTATTTTGGTGTATTCGAATAAATTTGTATACTTTTTTAACCATGCAGTTTGTAATGGTATTGTTAATAGTTTTTATAATAATTACAATACAAAGTTATGTGTATTTTGTAAAATTTTGAGTAAAATATCAAGAGAGATGGATAGAACGAGGCAGATCAATAAAATGGCCTCCTCAGCTATCTAGTTTAAATTCTTTGGATTTATTTTTGTTCTATCAGCGATAAATAATTACAATAATCAACAAAAAAAGAACAATCAACATTGTCTATAACAAATATGAAAACAAAGTATATTTTTTTATCAAAAAAATTGTTTCTTGGATATATGTTGTTTAGATGTTTTTTTTTCCTCCCGGTGAAGACATAAAACTGGAGCAAGATTGGAGTGTATATTACACATAATTGTGTGTAACATAGTTTATAACACTCTACATAATCTCTTACGAATATACCAATCGCCCGATTACTATCGAATGTTACGAAAAATGGAACTTATGTAAGAATAGTTGTTAAAGTATATTGAATTTGACCAATCGCTAAACAGTAGAAAATTATAAAAGCGTTCGTTTTCGAGGTAATGAAAGTAAATCGATGACGAACGTCTCCTGGAAAAACTGGTTCGCGTCTCACAGGGAAAGTCGGTATTGCACGTTCGCATTTCGTTTCCTACATTACGCTTTCAAGATATTCAATAGAAATTCATAACATATTCAGCGTGTAGCTTTCGTAGAAAATGAAAATGAGTCTCTGTCGAAATTTTCAAAGGAACTCGCTGCTAAAAGACCGTATTTGCAACGTCTGTAAAAATATCTCTCCTCGGAGACCTTAGAAAACTCGCAGCTTCCGCCGTTACCGTAGCGTTTTAATATTTCAACGCAAATGTAAGCAAGAATTTGACATCTTTCTCTTCAAAAATGCAATTTTAACTTTAAGTTTGCTCCTGTACTTTGCGCACTCGTTCAACCTAACTGTCACTTGTTCTAAATCAATTCTGGCCATTTTCCAAATGAAAACTTACTCCATAATTTAACTACTGAAAAATTTAACCTATTAATCTTTCGATCAATTTACATTAGCTAATTCTGTCAGTTAACATTGTGGCTATGAAAGGGAATTTCCAAAATTTGCTTCATATTTTCGTACTATTTCTTCTAATATTTCTAATATTTCTTCTACCTAGATTCTATAATTTTATAAAAGAAATTAAGGTACTTACAACATCATGACAAATTGTACGCCGCTTAATTCTTAATGGATTAATCTGATATTTTGTAGCCGATCGATACTGTTATTTCTATAGAATTCTCTATGGAACGATCAACAAGCAAGGATGTTACGTCGAATGGGAACAAATCACGTTGTAGGAGGAACGTTAGACTTAATCACGATGCATTGGGGAAACGAACGTATTTGGACATTGAGCAAATGAAGGAAAACTGCCACTTACCTGACTGGGACTGCATACTGCACCATCGGCAAGACGACAAGGTACCTCGTGAGGGGCATGATGAAGCCGTTGAGGGTGGCAACAGGGGTCGTTGCAGTCCTCCTCCCATCCGCAATCACACTCTTCGCCATCCTCCACAACGCCGTTCCCGCAGATGGCATTTTGGGGCTCTGAGGAATCATCGATTTTCCATTTCAGTTCGATCAACATGATTCTCCATATGCTTTGCCATAACATTTTCTCAAATTTCAATTAACTAGTCCTCGTAGGATCAAACTATTGACCAGATAAACGAATGACTGGCTAATTTGAAAAAATGATCAATATAATGGAAAGTTTATCTATAATTTAAAATTACAAACTTTGCACCTGTACATTAAACTTGTAAACTATTTGATTAAATACAAACTTTGATTAAATTATAATTTCCTTTAGGATGAATGTTACGATCAACGAATCATCTGTGGAGTATGTCAATTATCGATCAAGTGACTTCTGGTCAATTGTTTTTTCCCTAAAACCTAACCTTGTTTTTTCCCTATGTTGAAAATAGATCATTTAACACTGTAGACTTTAGCTACTACTATAATCTCATTTTTCACCAATCTTTATTTGAGCGAAGTGTAAAAAATTAATAGATAAAGAGAGAAAGGAGAAACAGTTATATTTGTAGGATTATTAGATCAATTGGATCAATTAGATCTATTCTCTTAATTGTTAATTAAACTTAGAAAATGATCAGTTAACTTTTTTAACAGAGTTTCAAGAGAACATCGTATCGTTTTGATTTTAAACGAACGAAGAATGAGCCGCAAGTGGAGGCAAAGTAGATGGAATAAATGTTAGCCTGATTTGCTGTGAGCTTAATGAAATCCTCGATTTAATGAAGCTCAACAAGTCGACCGTGACTGTGTAATGTAATCAATTGCGCGCCGCGTCGAGTGATGCTCGGACAGCTCTGTTTTTACAGAAGTCGGCGGGAATTTTCCTAAATTTTTCGCGTGTTACTTCCTTTCTATTATAAATAGAAGAATCACAGAAACATAATTTGTCAGTGATTTAATTGAACCTCTACTTAATCGAACCTCTATCTTACACATGTAAAATATTCGAAATCGTTTTGAATCGAAATGAGAATAATCTAGCTATAATAATATTTCTTGCGAATATATTATGGGTGTCATATAAAAGATCTTGAACTGAAATTGGTCAAATTTGAAACCAATCTGAAAATGTATATAGAAATTACAAGATATTTCTTCCCGAGCATATACCTAATAAAAATCAACAAAGTGTTTGAATCATTAAACCTTTCAGAAGTGAAAATAATTAACTCCGTTTCTTGTAAGTTTTACAATTTCATTAATAAAATATATGATTAATGTTCGATTCTCAAAAAACGAATCGCTTACTACCCGTAAGTACCTTTATCGTAAAAGAATAGCACAAATAATAATTTAGCGACGGCACTAATTACATATATGTTCTAAACTGATAATCATGCTGTATATTAACTTTTTATTAAGTGTATGTTTGCAATAAATATCTCGCAACTGTTATATACATTTTTGAATTTTACGTGGATTCTATCTCATTACAATGTTAATGAAATTTCAAAAAATTTCATACAATATGCAGAGTAAATATATTTATAAAAATGTTTTATGGCAGATGTTCAAACACTTTCGTGAATTACTGTATATGCCATGATAATATTTTACTTTTTATTTCCCTTCGTTAACACGCTGTCTCATGTGTATTATAAAAGTAGCTGTGTTTCGCAATACTCGAACGAGTTTTTCCATCGATTTAAAACGGTCACGCGGATTTTTATGTTATGAACAATTAACGAATCGTATTTGTTTCTTGTTTGGCCGACTTGTCGCACGTTTGCTAGTACGTTCGCGCGGTCGATGCTCGTTGTCCAAAACGAGTTTCACGCGGACCATGTAGAGCCTGCTATTAGAATTGCAATTGAGTTGCAGTTAGACCGTGGGTCGATCGATATACCGTAGCAACACCGATAGGTTTCCTCTTTGTCTTTTTTTTCGTTTTTATGTTGCTGTACGATGGTATTAGCATTATATATAAGTAGGTCAAAGAGCATCATGCTCTTTTTCCTCTCGTTATGTCTTCTTGTATGTAATTGTTGCAGCACAATTACGAAATTGAATTTGACTTAAAAAACAGGAGAGTTTTGTGAACAAAATGTATGCGTTTCCTTAGTATTCTTATTTCTAAACTATGTACAGCGCGATTTTGTGTCATAAATGATAAGTGATGTAGTATGCTTGAGTGTGATTTCGAATCTGCCGTGTGTGTATATCTTGTGAGAATCTGTTTGAACGTTTGAGATGTTGAAAGAATCTTGTTTGAATCTGACATCGTGTAAATATTTTAATATTTGATATACGCGATTTTAAACAAATTTGATTCAGCTCTTACTGGTTGATTGTGATATGCTGGAGATTATTTAATTTTCTTACTGATTGTCTTTTTGACTGATAAGTGCGTCGCTGCGTTTGAAAAGGTGAAAGTGAAAATGCGGAATAGGAGAATGCGTATCTAACTGCATTCTGCAGTAACCAGGTTTGATTTTCCTTCACCAAGTCTGTTATTTTGTAATTTACATTTCTCAACAGCAACAATTTCTTACATTAAATGCAAGAGCTAAACAATGCTTAAGTTTCTCCAGTTTAAATGTTCTCTCACTATCGCGGTGCAGAGATTCAACAGGAAATACGTTAACAAGTAATTAGCAAAGGGGCCTGTAAGCAGCTTTACCAGCGATTGTATAAATAATTCAGGTAACGACCGTGTACAGAGACGATCGAGGGGGGCACGGAGGAGGTCAGGGCTGTGATGACTGGAAGCAGGCCAGACGTTGACCCCTTTCGGAATCTAATTAAAATTCCGAAAGCTTCTCTCTACTCACCGGCGAAGCATCCCTTGGACGAACGGGCCTTGGCATTTAAAACGGGATTTATGGAGACCAAGCTGCACGGACTGAAGCGATTGTTATTTCGTTTGTCCCCGCTGGTGGCTCTGGCAAACATTATGAAATTTCCGTCTTCTCCTCCGGGCGAACACTCGTCCGGATCGTGCTTGTCGCGTTAACAGAAAGATCAAACGTTAGACAACGACTTTGTATTATCATTCATCATGTATAATACAGTGAACGGAGTCAACTTTGAGAAAGGAGTTGTAATTAACTCCGACGTTGACGTGCCTTTACCCTTTGAATCGCCCAGCAACTGTAGCCACGCGAATTAAATAATTGGACCTTTCTCGCGGAAACAGTTTCGATCGTAATGGGCTATCAAATGGCTCTTTCCTCGTGTTAACGTCCAGCGAGAACAAAGCTCCGACGAAGTCTGGGGAATAAACACGCGGGTACATATGTAGAAGTTGTTGGGACTCTAAATGTTAAAGTTTTCTAATTTTCGAATATTCCAATCTCCGAACTTTCGAATTTTCAGTCTCCAATTTTCCTATGTAATTAACTATTTCAACTAAATATATTTTATATTTCTAAATTTTCTAAATTCTTCATATTTGATAGGTACAAGCAAGAAACACGTGTGTAAACGTTCTTGAAATAACTTGAATCCGCACTATTCCACGCGTAAAATTCCAACGGCAAGTTTTCAAACAATTCAGCGCTTAATTATTCAGGATATGGCTTCAGGATTTTTTCCTCAAACACCTTCTTTAGATGGAAACTTACCCCTCTGCTTTTATATCAAAGAAATGCAATTTTACTATTCGTACTATTCCTTGATTCGGAAAGAAATAAGAGAAGGAAAAGAAAGAAACATTAGAACAATCGTAGCATAGATCACGATTGCTTCGACGGGGTGGTGTCTCCGAAACAACCCTCGAAACTTTTCAAATGTATTCGCCGTACGCGTCGACAGCATGCAACCTCGATGCGCCGTTGAACTTACAGGGGATCCGAAGTTGTGACCGATCTCGTGTGCGAGGGTGACGTGAGAAACCGTCGGTGGTACGTGTTTGCCGTAGTTCAGGAGGGTGATTATACCGGTGTTCAACGATTTCATGCTACCCCTGTAGTGCTGCAAGACGAAATAGCGTTAGTTCTCGAGGTAATTGTCTGAGTATCGTGAATGCGCCGCGGAACGATGTTATTTTAGATGTGGCACGGTCGAATTAGTTTCGTTACATTCGGAACAGAACTTACCCCGTTTTTCTCGCAAACTCCGCCAGCATTTTTCAGATCTCCAGTCCATGCCAAGCCCAAAGTTCCCTTCTCAAAGTCGCGGTACGTGAACATGTACGATAGACAGAACGCGTCATAGTCCTCTTCTGTAACGAGTTTCAATGGACGATTAATCGTTACAATTTGCCAGTTCTTGATCTTTGATCGACTATAATATTTCGTCCGTGAAATACTTAGGCACATGAGAATACGTAAGCATACGCTAGCGGACAAAAATAAATGTGTAGACAATGAAAATAGGTATCAACGAAGTTTAATCAACTTAATACGAGTGGATCTGTTATATAACTTTATTTATCATATATCCTTATAGATCATTATAAAGTATTTAGTAAATAATTTTTATTTATGTTTATATTTCTGTGTACGAAGTAACTGTATGTTTAACGAAACTTCATTGATACCTGTTCCCACTATTCTGTCCATTTATTTCTGTCCACGACCGTACATGCACCACAATGACTCTCAATCCACCATATCTCTTTTAGAATAAAAGGTGGAGAGAGGAGATAACTTTCTTATTGACCGATTTATGTATATATATGTACATATATCACGAAAGTTCGAGTGTAAATCAATTTCGTTCGCTGTTAATCTGTCGCGAATGAATTAACGGACAAAATTCTATGCCGTTGTACTCGCAATACCCCTGGAATTCGTTGCATCCAATCAAGAACGTCGCGTCTCACACTGGTATTTCCGAGGGACGGAGACAAATACCCGTCGTTCGCAGCCTTTTAATTAATTTCATTTTTAATTCGGCCACTCTACCCTTGGCAGTATTTCACCTGGCTGGATTTCTGATGGCGCGCGCGAAAAAGAGGATGGCTCGAGGGGGCGTTGAATTCCCAGCCGACGCGGCCAAACATCGGCCGAGATGTTATCCGGGAAAAATAATAAATCAGGCGTCCAGAATGTCCGGTAATTTAATTTCTGGCGAACTTTTATGCTGTAGCAACTTTCCTCCGTTGGGATCGGTGTGTTCGGTAGCCGGGTATATGAAAAAAATAGGAAAAAAATGAAAAAAAAAACAAGGAGAACGTCCGCTCGTCTACACCCCTTTTATTCGCCCTTCTCCTTCGCGGAAATTTTTTGTGGCTCTTGAAAAAATGAGAGAGAACAGAAGAGTAAAACGAGCGATGAATACTCTGTGAACGTCGTGCATGAATTTCAATGAAAAGGGTTGTTTACGGACGTCCAGCAGCGTGTTCATCGCGTTCACGTTCTTCCAAAGTCAACTGTACTTCGCGGACCAGCGAGGGCACTATTGTACCCGATGGACAAACGTTTGCTATCAAAAAGGGAAAAGGAAGATAGAAAGCAAAGATAATATATTTTACGCAATTTTAACGCTAGAAATTAGTAACCAAACTTAGAATAGTTTATTAGATAAATTGAGGATGTATTATCTTTTTACGATTGAAATAATGCACGTGGCCTTAGGAAAATTAATTTTCTATATTTAAGCTAACGATAAAAATATCTTTTTTCAATTCCACTCCACTGCAATTTTTTTCCATTGCACTACCTCCATTTTCCACTTATTTCATTGACATTATATGTATCTTACAATTTAGTACATTAAATCAAAAGCAATTTTTTTCAAGTTTTCTAATAAATGTACCAAGTAAATGGCCTAATGCTTGTAGATTGATCTACGTAGATAATAGATCAGTCATAGTTGTTCAACCTTCGAGCACAAAATCGAGCTATCGGAACCATGAAGTGGCCACAAGCGTGTGGAAGGTAAAAGTGCTGCGGATCATCGGGAAAACAAGCCCGGTTCTTTGCACAATGGTTTTTGCAGTCTGCATGCACGGCAGCTGCTTTTTGCAAGGGGAGAGAATAGAACGTGGGATACGTGTTTGCTGTGTAGCATGTCTCAGGAGGCATATTTGGTTACTGTATGCCTGCGGCAAATACGTCATGGTCCACTGCTGCTCGGTTGTGTTTCTCTCGATCCTAGTACATCAGCTATTGTACCGCTACGAGCTGTTCAATGTTCTCTACCTTGATTTCAATTTAGTACCTACCAAAATGAGACACCATTTCGCTGATATTCTCATTGTCAATGAAATAACCACGACTAGTAGACAGACCGTGTGTGTGTGTTTCTCTTTGTCGATTATTTCATTGAAAATTATTTGCTCTGGTTCGTTCTTCTCGACTGGCTAATTTCAAGGCAAACCGTGTCGCGTTTCAACGCAGAGAGAGAACCGTTAATATTTAGAACGTTCTCCAGGAACGAGTAGCTGTTATTTAATAACGGCCCGGCCATTATTATATCAGCGAAACACGAAGCGAAATACTAACGCGAAGGTGACAGACGCTCTTCCGACGAGACGTTATTGTACCTGTCGCACCGAGCAACGTGAAACGATGTTACATTATCCTGACACTCGACAAATGTGCCTGCGTGAATTGTCCGCGTAATCTGCATCGAAATTCCAATGGGATTACGCGTGTACTGAATTTTTCATCGAAATATTCTCTGTAAAAATCAGTGGCGGGCGAACCTGTAATTAATTATAGAAGAATGTTGGAATTTTCGGCTGCAGGCAGATTTTTACTTGCTATGTGTAAAACTAAATAATTTGATAAGAACAATGGAATAATTTACTTGTAGGATATAGTTTTCACAAAGGATGGCGAATGGTAAGGGATGGAATACTGTTATGGGGTAGAGAATATTAGATTCAAAATGTTAGTATTCGTTTGCGTACATTAATTGTGCGGTAGAGAATGCAAGATTTGAGAAATAAAATAAGGAACGTAAGAAATAGAAGAGTGGTGTGAGATAGGGAATGTTGGGCGTGGAATGATAGCATTGGCTTGTGTATATTAGATATGGGGTAGGAAATATAAGAACCGAGCGATGAAATAAGGATTATATAATAAATTAAGAGAATATGTATAAAACTAATATGTTCATTGGTTTAGTTTTTCTCATGTCGATAATTTGTGCCGTTTGTATTAATTAACCAAATAATTAATTGGACACGAAGAAAAATGGATTTCGACAGTAAAATCGCGCTACAACCCTAACGATGCAATCGTGCTTATTAGTCATCACGCTAACTGCAAACATTTCGACCGAAATTGCGTAATTATGGTAGACAATGCAAATTCAAATGCATTGGGGAATGCGTACACCAATGCCCTAGAGGTAACTCATATTAACGTTTTAATGTAATCAATAACTTGAATATAATTATAATATGGATATATTAAACAACCTAATTAAGTATCGTATTAGGTATCATTTGGTTTTCAAATTTCACGTAGAAGAATATAATATGTAACACGAAGTAACTTCTAACAAAATCGATATTATATTCCGACAAAATTTACTGGCTCTAAAATTGCAAATGTCATCTACGGTGCAAATATTTTTCATAAATAATGGAATGGAACCAACGATGAAATCGAATTTGCTAAATTGGACAAAATCATATTTGCGTCAAATTGTAACTCGATTTATCAAATACTTTTAACAAATTAAATAAATGGGTCCTCTTGTCCTGTAATTTGACAACTAATACTATTACTTAATTGACAATTCACTAGTTATTTATATATTAGTCAGACTATTTTTAAAAATATTATATTTTTGTGCTAAATACAATAACGAAATGGCTTGTAATTTATAAAATTTATTTTATTTTTTTATCATGTCATGACGACCAATTAATTTCAAGCTTTTATTTTTACAAAAGTTTTTCGATTATATTAGTTCCAGTTACATAAAAAGTCTTCTGTCTTTCTATATTAAAGATATTTACCAATCTTCTTATTTCCATGGAAAGATAAAAACACGATTATCCTTTAATTAAACTATTTTCACCATATGAAAACTAGAAGATGACACACCTCGCATAAATAGCCCCTAATAGAAAAACACTCATAGTAGCCATCTTTAAAAGCATGCGCTGTATAGACGGATAGAGCGAAAGTGGCGGCTTAAATCAGCTCGAAGGAGCGTCGAAAGCAACTCTATATACAGGGTGGTTGGTAACTGGTGGTACAAGCGGAAAGGGGGTGATCCTACGCGAAAAAAGAGGTCGAAAATATAGAATAAAAATTTTTCATTTGAGGCTTTGTTTTCGAGAAAATCGACTTTGAATTTTCGCTCGGTACGCGTGCGGTACGTTATAACGGATTTCACTGTAGATCGTTGTCTCGATGGAAAAATTAAAAAAAAAAAAAAAATAAAATAAAAAAAATTTTTATTCTATATTTTCGACTTTTTTTTTCGCGTAGAATCACCCC